GTCTTTGCACATTGCCATCTAAGTTACACTCTCAGACTGAAGCCTACTTCAGATAAATTAAACATAGCCATGCCAGGACATACTGATGGCCATGAACTACAGGTGACATTTACCACTGAAGCAATTAGAGGAGCAGTGGATTTCTAAGCTCTTTTGTACTGTGCGGTTGCAGATGGCTATCTGTTACCTCTTCTCTCTCTGTTAAGTGCACCTAACAAACAGTGAGAGCGCTACAGGGACATGACCCTGTGTGTTTCACTAAAGGAGGATAGCAAGTTTTTTCTGTTTACCATATTTCGTATGTTTAAGTTAGGGTACACTGTTGTCCTTATAGAGAAATGTATCCTTTGCATTTGACTCACCCTGCAATGCCACTGGTGTAGTCTGTCAGCAGCAATGACTGACTGCAGCTTAGTGCCTGGTAGGGCCCTTCTCAGGTTCATGGCCAGGACCAACCAGACAGTTTGGAAGAAAGGAGAGAGGAACACAAAATTCTTGTGTAGTAGAAGCACTATACTAAATATTAAAAAGAAGCTCAGCATTTGCACAGTTGAGACCCTTTGTGTGGGTGTGGGTGTGTGTGGGTGTGTGAAATGTCAGGAAATGTCCTTTATGTGTGAAAAGTTAATGAGGCTGGGCACTCTGCAGGCAGCTGGAGGATGGCTCACTCAGATGAGGTCAGCTCTTGAAGGTGGAATGTACAGGTGTATTTTAGCTGAGTGTGAGATACAGCAGGGCTTCGATAACAGAGCAGAACAGTGCAGAGTGCAGTCATGGCAACAGAGTTTATCAAAGTTATGATTTTGGTAAAGTTGACATGCTACTTTTGTATGTAGTTTTAATTTAAATTTAAACTATAAGTTAACCTACCGTCAATTAACTTGACTCACATTAAAGGCTAGCAGTTGCACAACTGTTGCATAGTTCCTCTTGTTGGAGAACAGACTATACCTGTATGTTCTTTGTGTAAGTGTCAAGCTCATTTAATAAGAATGATAAACCAGTGTTAAAATGCTGAAAAACAATTAATGGGGTGCAGCCATATGCCTCAGTGTTAGGGCTGATGTAAGGCTGGGCAATATAGGGAAAAAAACTAATTGTGATCTCATCCATGTGGCAATACACTGTACTTATTATCAACCACACCAAATCAGGTTCTGACGTCACATTGTATCTGTTTGAGCATTCAGCTGCATTGGACACTTTTCCCCACCCACGTATCCTATTGTTCAACCCTCTAAGGCTGTGAGTGAGTGACAGCCAATCATAGGATGAATTCAGAAAACAAGCAAATCACAACTTAAAAGGCATATAGAAATGCCAAGTCTGTATGGATCGAGATGAAAATGAAATTGTAATGTAGCTCAAAGAAAATTGTGAAATTAATTTCTTGGCATATTACCCACCTCTAGACTGATTTTGGGGATCTATATCTCTATGCTGTGTTATATGACTCTGTGTTGTAGGTTTAAGGTACTTAAATAGGTGTACATTCCTATCCTGACTTTTAATTTGTTCTCATATGTAAACGGAAAGATTATCCACATCCTGGCGTGCTGTTAAGAATTTTTATTATTTGTCTGTCACTTGCTTCCTCCAAAGGTCAACAGCATGCTGTCTGACCGACGGTGTTATGAAATAGTTGACAGATATTTTTGACTGCTGCTTACTGCAAGTAACAGTAGCCTCTAGCTCTGTGTGGGACATGCTGCATTCAGACCACTGCTGCCCACCTGCTGCTGACCTGTGTCCTATAGGCCCTAGTGAGTGACTGCTACTGATATGGCCTGGATAAACTGATGTGACAGACTTAGATATTTGATATATGCTTTGTTAAAATACTTAATATAATGATTTTATTGTTGTTGTTAGTGTTGTGCTGATTCCAAAAGAGATTTTAAATAAATTCCGGTGCATAAATGCATAAAAAAACTTATGCAAGGAAATTCTGAGGGACCGAAACGTTGTATCAATAAAAGAAAACCCGGAATCAGACCGTGTGCAGGAGTTTTCTTTAAAACAACTGTGCTATGGAAATTTCATAAACATGTAGAGAAGACATTACAGGATAAACAAATATCTATAATCACTTGCCAACAGCTAAACGTGAGAATATCTTGTTTCTGACAAATGTCTCTGTCCACAGTCTCACAGTTTGTTCTAAATATAAAGCCACTCTTCTGGGACTCATACATGCTTCACTGGCTGTTGTGCTCTGCAAGACATTCTCATAGGCTTTTGAAATAGTTCAACAAATAGTTTATGGAGCTAATATAGAGGACTCTTTATCACAGTTATTGGGTCAGTTGAGGACAAGATTATTAACTGTGAAAGTAATTGGTAATAAGTAGAAATCTTATAAACAGCACTGCTAATGATAAATGGTTTTATGGTTATATATTCATTCTTACTACTGGTGCTGGTACAGTATGTATTAGAGCCCGACCGATATGGATTTTGTTGTGGTCGATATGAAACTGATATAATGGGAGTTGGGGCTGCCGATAGCCGATATAATCACCGATATATTTAGTGATGTAAAAATTCACTGTAAATCTTGAATTGATTAAAAAACTTTGGTTTGGTTCTAGTGAATTCTAAATTGGGTTTATTTAGGCAACATTTATTGTTATTTTGACTCTTCACATCAAATTTACATACAGTAGATTGGCCTAATGGCATTTTTGCATCACATTCTAGCTACTGTTACTGTCACTGCTAGTGATGGGTATTCCAGTTTTTTTTTTTTGGGAGAACCGGCTCGGCTCACTAAAGCAGCTGGCTCTTTCGGCTCCCAAGCGACTCTTGAGATTGTTTTGTTGCAAGCAGGACTAAACCAGAACTGAACCAGGACTGAATGTCGGGACTCGGTTTCTATCTTTCTCCTGCACTCGAGCCCAAGATTAGTCCTGGTTTATTCATTTTATGCTGAACTGCAGCCAAATATGCACTTTTTTTATCCTATGCACACGCAGATTTGAAAGTTTCGTTTTCAGCCGCTGCTGCTGTCAAACTACGGGTCTACATGCGGCATGAAGAGAAAAAGTGAGAAAAAGAGAAAACACGGCTCCTAATAAGAAACATGCTCCCGTTGTTCGCTTCAAAGAGCCGGATCTAAGAGCCGCTTCGATCGCGACCGACCCATAACTCCTAGCTAGTAAACTATCGCTATTAGCCTTTAGCCGTAAAAACGTGCGCACCGCGGTAATTAATTATATGCATAAATGTGGATCATTCACACGTCTATTCACAGCTCATTTACATATCAATACTGGTCCAGTAACAAATATACGGCCAATGTAGTCACTTTACAATAGACCAATAGAAAACAGCCTGTTTATGTGTGGGAGCTACAGCAGCTAATTGCTAACAAAACCTAAACTAGCTTCAAAGTCGATGTATTTCCAACGCTCACACAGGCTCCTCCTCACATCACAAGTCTGCACTAATAAATGTCCTTTTAATCCAGACTCAAACCGATTGTCCGAAAAAGAATATAATCTCAATGTTGCACCGCTGCCGGTGTAAACAAACACACGCGAGTGAAGTGACGTCACTCTGGTGGTGTGTTCAGGGACAGTACGGACACAGACACAAACAAATTACACCGTAGATAAATACTGATGCGGAGTCACATATTAGGACATTTATCTGTCTGTAAATTGGATTAAATGAACATAATGTAGAGAGTCTAAGCTTTATAACGGTATAACATGCCCACGTGAAATATCGGCCCATATCAGCCAGCATATCGGCCGATATGTCTCCAGGTGCCCATATTGGCCTATAATATCGGCCAGCCGATATATCGGTCGGGCTCTAGTATGTATAGTACAATATTTATCTCCCTGTCTCATATGCAGACAATACACTGTGTATGTGACATTAGCCTTCAGAAGGTTCGTGGGCCATCACTTTTCTACTTCTTACTGACATTTACCTCAGGTGAATATTTAATATTCCCACAATGAAGATCTGCTGGAAACCCCATGTAAGCTACATAGCATCAAAATGATCAACGAACATTGCTGTTATAGGAAAAACAAAGCATATACTGGACTGCAAATCTCTGTTGACTTTATTTATAAAAATATAAAATGTTAAGTCCATGCACTCTTTAGTGCATGTCTGCACTAAAGAGTGCAGACATGTACATTGGATATTTGGTATATGATATTACTGTTACCTGCTTCACCTGGCAGAGGTCATAAGACTGCTTGATCCTATAGCTTTTGTCAACTCCAACAGAGCCTGTTCTCCTGAAGAAAGCACTCAGTATCATGTTAAAGTACATTATGGTAGAGGCCTGTCCTTGTGCACATGTTGTCTATGTGTGTTATATGAGCCCCATAAGCTGGTCAGTTTAGGCTAACAATAAACGCCCTGCCTCAGAGACCACTGCAGCTGATGTGATGGCCTGAGTTATTGTGAAGCACTGGATCATATCCCTTACCTCTCTGATGACTGACATCATCAATGACCTATACAAAGCTGTTTGCCTCTCAACTCACATACCAGCCAGAATGTCTCTGCACATGCACCCCTTTTATTTTAGGTGTATGCTTAAACTGAAAAGATTGGAATGCTTTTGAGTACCCGCTACTTATGTTTGTTGAGATGTTTGTTGTACAGAATGTGAATCACGTTGTGCTCGAAACTGCATATTAATGACGTACTGTAGAATGGATATAAAATGGGTCCATGACTATTAGGGGATTTTGTGAATTGGCTCTGGCTCAAATGCCAGCTGCTTTTCCAGCCTCACAGAGGCCATTGTCAGCTTTTCTAAGCACCACAGACCCATGCCTTTATGGATTATCTCGGAGCACTAGCTTTAATTTCACTGCTGTGTTAGGGTCAATTAGAGTGTGTGATTGTAATTGTACTCATTTACTGTTTGATTGTTACCACTGAAAGGATTTGACTCACTTTAATTTGTGTCCCATTGTCTATGTCTTCTCTGTACACATTTTTCTCATATATATATTTTTTTCTTTCAGGTGTGTGACCCGCTAATTTGACCCCAGCACAGAGCATAACTGTCAGCTGACGGAGGGCCATGGCGGGGTGCCTGAGCCAGGATGTTTGCTGGACACTGGCAATGCTCTTCATCCTAGTAATGATTGTTGTGTCACCCATCCTAGGCCAAGGATGTCCCCAGCGATGTGAGTGTGTCTCAAGGCTCAAGACCGTGTCTTGTAATAATAAAAGACTGACTGCACTCCCTGAGGCCATACCCTCAGACACAAGGGTCTTGGACCTGAGTAGTAATAAACTTCGCTGGGTTGAACACGGGGACCTGCTCACATATCCTCACCTTGAAAAGTTGGACCTAAGTGACAACATGATTAGTGTGCTTGAACCCAATGCATTTTCAAGTCTTCAGAATCTGCAGTCTCTCTCTCTCCGGGGAAACCAATTGAAACTGGTACCCATGGGAGCTTTCTCGCGTCTTACCAACTTAACTTCATTGGACCTAAGTGGAAATAAAATTGTAATTCTGTTAGACTTTACTTTCCAAGACCTAAAAAGTCTGAAAAATCTTGAAGTTGGGGACAATGATCTTGTTTATATTGCAAACAAAGCTTTTCTGGGTCTTGTAGGCCTTAGAGAGCTGACCATTGAAAGATGTAATCTGACCTCTGTGTCAAGCCAGTCTTTGTCTTACCTTCATAATCTTGTGACTTTACGGCTTCGCTACCTCAGTATCTCTGCCTTAGAAGATCAGAACTTTCGTAAACTGGGTAATTTGAGGGGCTTGGAGATCGACCACTGGCCCTTTTTAGAGTACATCTCCCCTCACAGTCTGCAGGGTCTTAATTTGTCCTGGCTGTCTATTACACACACCAACATCACCTCTGTGCCCACCTCTGCCCTGCGCAGTCTATCCCACCTCACTACTCTCAACCTCTCGTATAACCCCATCTCTGTACTGGAGTCCTGGGCCCTGCGAGACCTCGTCAGACTGAAGGAGCTTCATTTAGTGAGCACTAACCTTATGACAGTTCAGCCCTACGCGCTGGGAGGGCTCAGACAAATCCGCCTCCTAAACTTCTCCACTAACAGCCTAGTAACACTGGAGGAGGGGGCCTTCCAGTCCGTCAACACCCTGGAGACAGTACGTTTGGACGGGAACCCTTTAGCCTGTGACTGCCGCTTACTGTGGATCCTCCAGCGCAGGAAGACACTAAACTTTGACAGAGCTCCCCCAGTGTGCACAACACCTGTGGAGGTGCAAGGCAGGGCTCTTTCCGCTTTCTCAGACTCTGCTCTTTTTGAACATTTTACTTGTCAAAAGCCCAAAATCCGTAACAGGAAACTGCAGCAGATATCTGCCCGCGAGGGACAGGTGGTGTCCTTCATTTGCAGAGCAGAAGGTGAACCAACGCCTGTTATTTTCTGGATCTCTCCCCAACGCCGCCGCATAACCACAAAGAGTACAGGTCGTCTCACTGTCTTACCGGAAGGTACATTGGAAATACGCTATGCTCAAGTCACAGACAGTGGGACGTATATCTGTATAGCCAGTAACGCAGGTGGAAATGACACTTACTTTGCCACTCTTACAGTGAGTGGGTTGCCTCTCGATGCAGCACTTATGGCAAACCGTACCTATTACACTGGGGACCTGAATGACACAAATCTAAATGACACTAAGGTCTTTTTAAAGTTTACTCTGGATTTAAAGACCATCCTCATATCCACGGCCATGGGCTGCATCATGTTCCTAGGAGTGGTCCTGTTCTGTTTCATTTTACTGTTTGTGTGGAGCCGAGGCAGAGGGCAGCACAAAAACAACTTTTCTGTGGAGTATTCCTTTAGAAAGGTGGATGGACCTGCAGCCAGCGGAGGACAGGGTGGGGCACGAAAGTTTAACATGAAGATGATATAAACTGACTTTTTTTTTTACAAAACATGTTTACAAGCCTTGTAATGCTACAGATATAAAAAACAAAAAACAAAAACAAAACAAAAAAAACTTTAGAAGAACTTTTTTATCTAATGACTTTTTACATTATGTTTTAGCATTGCATACTTTTATGGTCACTTGCGCCGAATGGGACTCAAATTATTGTATAGACCAAACAACAATATGTATAAACATATATTTACTGATATATTGAACGATTATAGGCCGTTTGCCAACTAAACATGAAAAATAACTAAGCTTTTGCTATCTTTCCTTCTCTGAGTTGCCATCATAGTTCTTTTAAAATTTCCAAATTAATTATTGTATTATCAACCGTGTTGGTGCTTCATAAATGCCAAGGACTTGCCAATGTTTATCTGAAAGTATAGGCCTCTATTATATCTTACAATGGTTACATTCAGGATTTCAGTACCCTGGTAATTTGATAAGTAACAAAAGGCTGTTGTCTAACACTGCCAAGATTAGCCCAAAGCACCACTCGAATGAGCTAGAGTAAGGGAACAATAGCCACATGCACAGTATAGACTACCATTAAATAACATAGAGGACATTGTTAAAATCTTTATATTGTATAATCTGTAATACTCCTTATTCAATGCTCATACTTGTAAATGTTGGTTGTATTTAAACTTCTCTCATGTTAAATATGTTAAATTGTACAGGTAGAACATCTGTAAAGATGTAAAATATTATTTTGTAATTGTTGAAAATTGCACATTTGTGGTTGTTTTTAAATTGTGTTGAGTAATCTGATTGAACAAAATCTCTCGTTAAATCTGCCTTTTCCAATCCATTGCCATGATTCCCAGAGCATTTACCCTTTCACACTTTGGTTTATCAGAAAGATATTGCGCTGAGACATGCCTGCTCCCAGAGTGCTCACATCACATCATGAGGGGCATATATGTCAGATCTCAGACTATTTTGGGGTGTACAGGACAGTGCCACTGCATTCCACATTATGAACAATCAAATATCAGATTTTTGGTTGATTTATTCAGTTGAGGGTAAGAAGTTAAGATCATTCTTACCCAGTCTCCAATAGGAAATGCAGCAATGTTACTCTTTCTTCCTTTAGGCTATATGTTGTATAATTAAAATTTGATTATATTTTTCTTTCACGACATTGTTTCAACAATAAATGATAGCGTGTGTTTATGATAAAATATAATTTTTTCATCTGTTGACACCTCATTTTAGTGGTCCTAGGGCTAGCACAGGCAGTTAGATGCTGTTACACTGCCCCCCAATGGTTGAAAACAAAATTGCCCAAGGTGGAGCACACAGCACAGTAGTGTAAATTAGGCACACTGCTATTAGCTCAACATAATGCACAAACGACATATTTCTAAGAGAAAACATTTATGTACAGGCTGCATTTATCATCTCAGTGTTAACATGACTGATGAAACTATGATTCATGTTGTAATATATGAAGCATTGTGTCTGCAGATTGTGCTAGACTGTTTTGTATTGTTTTATAAAATGAAGCAAACTATTTATAAAGCATGCTATTCAGATCAGATATGATGATGTCTACTGTTGCCTTTTTTGCTGCAGTCATCTCTGTTTTTCACTTTGTTTTTGGTTAAATGTTGAAAGTTGATTTTTGACATTGTGTACACCCGTGACCCCTCACTGTGATATTTCTGTTTCATTTGAAATAGTTTTAAAATTAAATCACCGCATGGATATGCGATCATCACAACAAGCTAATTATTTTGAATTTTTGAAGTCTTTTCTTCATCGTGTTTGATGTTTTGTCTGTTTCTGCATTATTATTATTATTATTATTAGTAGTAGTAGTAGTAGTAGTAGTAGTAGTAGTAGTAGTAGTAGTAGTAGTAGTAGTAGTAGTAGTAGTAGTAGTAGTAGTAGTAGTAGTAGTAGTATAATATACAGACCACACAGATGTCTTATACTAACTGTGTTGGCCATAGTGAGTCATATGTCATCACACTTTAACTCTTCTTTAAACTCAACACACGTTTATGGAACAAACCACTTGGGGACAAAAATTAGCTGTGAAAACGACCACAGGCTCAAAGTCCTGGGCAACTTCTGGACAGCTAAGAGATCGTCGTCCTCTAGTCTAGACTATCAAGTATGCACGCCCCTGGATTTGTATATGTCCCAGATCCCTCCAGGTGGAGCTGTAGCTCCTGTCTCGCGCTAGTCTATCGTTGGTGTGTTGTGATGGCGCGTGGGCTTTGCGGTTAATGCTGTGCAATATTTATGGGCCTATTGGATTTTTAATAGGCCTAATAGCCTAATGTAAATAGCGTACAAACAGACTAGATTATATTTATACTTGTTACTTTTGTTACTTTTTTTTGGAACATTGCAATATATTATGAAAGAGTGGTGAAAAATATATGGCTAATTAGGCTAGTTCATACTATTCAGTTAGGTCTAATTCGGTGCGAATGTTAATGCTAGCAGTTAGAGCATTACCACATGTCCTGGGCCAGTGCCAACAGATGCATTATTTGTGCAGTGGTGTAAGACTGAGGACAAGTACAAAAGAAAGTGAGTAGCCTAACCACCTGCGCTTTTTATATTTCAACAAAAATAGTTTCCATTAATGATTTGGCCTAAAGCAAAAACGGCACACAACTTTTGACTGTCTAAAGATTGTTTAATTTATGCTGTAAAATGAATGTTACAAAGAAAACCAAAGATAGGCAACTGGAAGATTTTAATGGTCACACAATGTAGGAAGATGACAACTTCTGCCCACACAGGAAAACCAAACCTCTTCACAGTTATCATTTGAACTTCGTTTGTAAGTGTACACAGTAGCCATAGCCAGTAAGCAGCACGTTAACAACTGACCTTATTTATTTTTTTAGATATATTTTAATTACTTTTTTTACTTGGTCATAATACTCATGTTAATGAACATACATAAGACACATGCTGTAAACATGTCTAACTGTAGCAATGCATAATTTATATTTATTGACTCTCATAAACACACATTCATGTTGTACTCTAATGTATCAACACTGGAGGCAATCTGGGTGAAGTATCTTGCTCAAAGATACAACAAAACACACACCTTCCTTAGATGCAATACACAAAGTGGTCAGTCAAAATAAAGTAATTGATGCAAAGATGCGGCACAATGTTGGTCATTGTAATGCTTGATTTTAAAACAGTATTTATAATGTGCTATTCTTGGTTATGAGGGTAAGTAAGGTCTGTCTCTGTCTGGGTTGTTCTTTGGAGTTTGCATAGGACCAGGTAGCTGTGAAATTCGAGGGACCTGTTGCTCATCTTCCTCCCAAAGGTCTTTTCTGGGACTCGGCCTCCTCGGCATACACATAGCATCAGGTTGACGAAGTTGGCTCTGTTTGAACATTTCAGGATACATGAGTGTAGAGGAGAGACTGGAGCTTATGCCACCATGCTGGTTTAAATAAGGACTGGCTCTTGTCTGGGGTATAGGCATGAAGACCGGGTGAGGAGGTTGTGAGGCGGACCACAGGGGGGATTCTTGACTTCTCCAGTAGTCCCTTTGCAGAGCGAGATGGGAGACCCGAGCACTGTTACGGGCCTGGTCCTGCATATGGGACAGTTGGTAGGCAGTGTAGGCAGCGGGGTGTGCTAGCCCAAAGTGGATCTTAATGGCCGTCAGTTCAGCTTTGAGTCGTGTGTTCTCCTCTTTCAGCGCCAGGACATAAGTTTCAAGCACATAGTCGTTCATTCTTCTCTTCTCCCGTGACTTCTTGGCTGCTTCATTGTTTTTACGTCGCTTCTCCCAGTAAAGGGCATCTTTCTGCTCATCAGGTATGAACTCCCTTTTGCGACGAGACCCTCTACGCATCACATCATTGTCCACAATACCAAGAAGGTTTTGGGGTCTTTCAAAGTTCAGGGATCGGGACTCCATTCTGGTAAGCTGCAATAGAATAGAGAGAAAATAGACAATAAAGCAGTAAATCTAAGCATGTGCCTTATTGTTATTTTTTTTTATTTATGCGTAGTCAGTTGTTTGTTAGTCTTTGTTCTTCCATGTAAATATCTTCATTGGGGTGAAATTAGATAATTTTACTCCCTGGCCTTTAGTCAATTTTGCTGTTAACTCTTTCACACCATATGTGGCCTTCTTTAAAGCAGTTTAAGGTGTAAAGTATATATATATATATATATATATATATATATATATATATATATATATATATATATATATATTATTTTTTTTTTTTTTTTTTTTACAATTTTGACTTATACTGCTACTACTACTTAACTCCACAAATGTAACACAAATATTTGCACCTTGCAGTAAAAGGGTAGACAGCTAGACAGCTAAAACATCAGAGAATCTGACAAAATATCTTTAAAACAATGTACAGTCAAAGCCAAATTAAAATGTGTTCTTAACAGAGATTATAAAAAAAGATCTTATCTAACTTTGCTGGTCATACTCAGTTTCTACTTCCTCTCTGCTATTCTTTTTTTATCTGTGAACCTTTCTTTATTTTGCAGTGCAGGTTTTGAGCATGAAAATGTTTTTTAACATTTTTTTCAACCTTCTTATAGATTTTGACATTTTTGTCTTTTGTTTTTGTCTATAAAATAGTTCAGCTAATTCACATTTCTTTTTGTTCATTATAAAACCTGTATTCTTCAAGCGGAAATGGTTTTAGACACAAGCTCTAACTTCACAGATTATTACTTCAAAGTGTCATGGACAGTTAACTTCTCTGTTTTATTCTTGTCATTCGAGCTCGCACTGTGCCTGGCCTTACACAGGAGCAACAAAACAACACTTCAAAGAGGCATAGGGCCCTGTGTGCTGTGGTGAGAGGACCTGTCATGTTATAAATACATACTTCTGCCATTATATATCTGCTTTGTGTGCTTGCGTGTGGCTATATGCCTCTCTATATAGCACAAAAAACGGATGCCTCCGCATGTGCCAGAGATTAATTTAGGGGAAAAAAAGTGTTAATTATATTATACATAGTACATAGATAACCAGCAGATATCTTTTAAGATCTAAAGCCTAGTCCTTACCTTGAGTTGATGAGTAGCGCTAGTGAAGTTCACACACTCCTCAGTGCTGTGCACACCTATGGCAGTGCTCTTTGAGCTCCTGTAGCGCAGATTGATAGTCAGAGAGGGGCTGTCTTGTTCATATCCTCCTCCTTTGCTGCGCTGTGTCTTTTGCCTCTTGTTTCCTCACCAGCAAATTGATTATGATTACAATAGTGGTTACTGCACCCTTGTGCATCTTGCAGTTAATTTACTTGTTCTATTAATTTTAGCTTGTGCTGATTTTATGTATATTTTGAAGAATTACCATTACCAAGGCCCAGACATTGTTTAATACAAATATTGACATTTGCAACAAGAATCTCTAATGCTGTGTTTGAATTAGTAGGTTACCAAAAAAAAAAAGAATAGTAAATAAAATATGTACAGGCGATTTAAAGAATGAATTTGTATGTATGTATTTATATGGTAAATAAATGGTTGTGTGCAAGTGGAAATTTTTCTCATGCACTGTTTCCACAAATGTGAACATTGACGTTACTGAGTAATTATTCAGGGAAAGAAAGGGGAATACCAGGTAAGACAAGGTTTTGGTGAAAGTTATATTCCCACAAAATAACGGTGAAACCACATGTAACTTTTAAACAAACCCAAGCTGGATAGCAATAAATTTGAAAACTATGCTCCTCCAGCACAGGAGTGACTGACCGCCCATATTAATATAACTGTACATGTTACATATATGTGTGGATGTGTTTGGGTAGGGGTTATAGGTGTTTCCTTATTAGAGCACAGTCTGTGTGTGTGTTCCTACTAAGATTATGACTCTTTCTAACAGGAACCTGGCTCTAGGGAGAGCCTACTGCACAAGTTAAAATGTTTGGAGAACACAGAGACTTGAGTAAGGCAATGCACTTCAGGAGAGAACATCTACACACACCAAAAGCCCTACAAGAAACCAACCTTTGACCGTCATGTGTTAGTGTCAACCACTATATTATCATTCTTACATCAATATCAGATCATATGTTCTCATTAAAACTTTAAATGTCTAAATGTTTAAATGCATTATTCACACATAAGATACATATGCACAGTATAACCCCACAGATTCCCATAGAAAGTATCCCACACTATCAAGCACAAGTGTGCATTTTGTGCACCAAAACACATAAGGTTCCTCCACTCAGTACGGAAGCTTTAACCACAACATGGCAGCCATAAAACCATTAAGTATGGGTGAGAAATGAGTCACAAACAAGACTGTATTTGTCTGTTTTTCTGTCTGTTTATGGGTCATTATATTACAGGAACATACCACTAAAACATGGCTATGGTCTTGCCACACTCAGCAGCTGTGTAAAAAATATTTGTCTAAAATGCTTTGCTTAGATTTTATTTGAGTTTGAGAGGGCACAAAAGAACTTGTTTTTCCAGGCACCGGCATACCCAATCCACATGAAATTTGTCAAGTGTGAGTGGTGAGTGTGGGGGCTGCCCAAAGAACAGTGGGGGAATATCTTTTTTGTGGTTTATTGTTTTGTTTTTGAAAAAAAAAAATCCTTAAGATTTTCTTTTTGACTCACTGTAACCACGTAGTGAATGCACCCCACAGTTTATCTTCCAGCAATAACAACTCAAAATTTTATCAGTAAATTTTATAAAGCAACAACTACATCAATAATACTATTTAGCTGTAACTTGCAGATTGAAAGTGCTGAAAAGTTGGGTTCATGTGAATCTTTCCCATATTTTAAAATGTGGTCAAATTTGCTCTTTAACTGAATTCTCTGTTTTCGCATGAAAAGGGAAACTAATTGTATACAATACATTTTGGTATTGTTCAGCCTTATTGGTGTCATTATCATTGACACAAGATCAACAGTAAGTGGTTTGTGGACCCTATCTCAATCCCACAAATAATGATCCAGTTCATCTTTTGTGAGTTTTCTGTTTCTGTTATATTCAGATATTTCATTCAAAAATCTTGCCTTTTCCACAGTCCCAGGGATCCATATGATATTATGGCATAATATTTTATAATATTCTTTAGATCTACCTCTTGTACTGGTATGAGTCAGTGCAAATCAGAGCAGATTCAAGAACAAGTCAGAACAGGTTTTCTAGACAGTTAAGTTTAAGTAAGTTTAAGTTTTTTCAAATTAGCTTCTGGCCTGTGTTGATGCTTTAATACTTATCTAATAATCTAATAATACACAGGACCCAAAGTGGAGAACTGTAACTCCAACTTCACTGAACTAACTGTATGGCTGTTAAAATACTATAATTACTGATACTATAGTAATGCTCTTGTAGGAATCTATAAGTAATTGCCATGGATTATACAATACTTTTCTAACATAAGTAGTGCACTGAATTATCAGATTGTTAATTGTAATGCTCTTAAATAAATAAAAGACATTGACATATCTATTACCGTACTTAAAAATCTGTATGTGCATTAAAACCTTGATCTTGATCTTATAACTTATATAGCTCCCTTCAGCTCAAGAACTCAATTTGTAAGGTCTTCTGACTTATCTCTGTGGTTTCTTCTTTGTTTGTTTCTTGTAAACGCCCCACATAAAAGGCATCCCTTGACCCAGCTGTGCAGAGCAGAACAGTTAACTATTGTTTCAACTTCATTTGTATGTGATTTCTTTGTGTTGTGTGTTATCTTTCTTTAGGACGGCTTTGGTCATTGTGTAGGGCTGACCTGCAGGTCAGTGTTCTTAATTCAAACCCTCTGGTATAAGTTATTTAGATCCACAGCAGTCTTTGAGTGGGTGCCCTGATCCACCACCGTCACTAACAGCCCACACGTCACCCAGAATGTGGTTGATGTTGATCTTATCGATTTGATGGTCAATGTTTTTTCTTTGTTTTGGTTTTTTTTGGCTGCTTTTTGCAGATGAAATTTAAGAACATTTTATATTAGGTACCAAGAATTGAATAATGAATTATTCTATTTTTTCAATTAGACCATTAAATGCAGTCCTTTATGTAATCCATATTTATCTTGCATCTGACAACAAGTGTTTCAATTAGGTCACAGAGAAAAAAGAACCTACATGTCAAATATAGTTATGTCTGTTACGATAACCAGTTTTAATTCAAATTTTTATTTTTTGCTTAGAAACGTCTTTATTTTCATTGTTCTCAACCAAACCCTGAGCAGAAACTCATGGACTATCATGTTTAGCCTACAATCACTCACAGCCTCTCATCAGGCACAATGCCCTAACCACTTTCTCCTAACCACCTTCAAAACAGATAGTAAAGTTTGGCCTAGATATGTAGACACAGACCTATAGCTACTCATGATGTACACATCTGACTGTTGACTGTGGCCTTTGTGGGGATGACTTCACTGGCCCAGAGACGAGCAATGGGACAAAAAGATATGAAACCACATATAGCACATTTAACTGACATTGTGGTAACTTTACACCAACTGCCTTTGCTGAAAAAGAACGTTTTTTTTTCCAGATTTACCCCCCTTTGACCTTTGTTTTAAGGAGAATTGCAGTAGGTTCTGATGTCCAGCAGATGGCATCACATTCAAAAGAAACAAGGATGCTGGGGCTACTGGATGGAGGTTAAAATAAAGGTAGTTTGTGATTTTGTTTTTATCAGGGGAAACAATGATACAAAAATACAGTTACAACACAACACCTTTTTCAATAAAAATCTCTTTATATTTTGCAAAATATCACTTTTTTCATGTTTATGCTTTTTTTTTTAATGACATGTAAATTGATATTCTTGTCTCTATTAATCTTAAACCAACACACCCTAAAGATAATAGCTGTTGCCTTGTTTTAGTTATATTTAAATGTGTAGTCCCTTTATACTTGTTGCTTCTTTCTTCTGAGAGAACATGACTCATGACACCAGAGCCTCCACCTGGGAGTTTGGGGAAAGGCGTGGCCCGGAGCATGTTAAACCAGTAAAGAGCTATGGTTGAAGCTGCTAAGGATGAACTTATGTAAACACCAAGGTAAACCTCCAGCACTGTCAGCCTTATGCTTGATTAATGTCAAGATGGATTCATAATCACAGGTAAGCACATCATTGCAATATATTTCTGTACTCCTGCAATGTATGTGTTAAACTGTAGAACTATTGTCCTTAATTTCTAGCATTGTTTATGTAATGTATTTAACCATTTCATGGTTGCCTTTGTATTTTTTTATATTTTGCCTAAAGCAAGCAAGCAATCTATATATTATTTAAATGAGTGTGTTATTTCCCTAGTTTTTTATTATTTATCAGGATAAAAGCAATTGAAGGTAGCTTTGTCATTATTCTTGTAACAAAACATTATGTATTAGCTGTATCAAAATTACTTATTCAAATATATTTCATATAGGCCCCTTTGGTGTGTCTGTATGCTTTCTCTATTGTGGTTTTGCTCTGAGGGTAGCCATGGTAACCCAGTGTAATGAGTTACATGTTTTCCACTAGGGGACACTTCTGTTGGACCCATCAGTTGGCAGTTATCTGGCCATACAGCCACAACTCTGCTTTGGTGGCATCCGTCTTGAGAGTCTCATGGAGAATGAGACAGGTTTGTCCTATTTAATGAAACATCCGTTCATTATGTGGCAGTAGTTTATTTTCTCATAATTTTCTTTTATACATTTTTATTTGTTATCACATAGAACATAACTGTACTAAACTATAATACTTGTTTGCAATGGTCACAGTTAAACACTTAATTTCTCATAGGTCTCACATGGGAAGTCAAAGTAAACAACCGTCACTTCCACAGAAAGAAGCAGAAGAAGTCTTTATTGTGCTTTGGATGGGGACGATACGCTGTGAGTATGTCCTACTTTCTTTCACATCTGAAACTCAACTCCTATCGGCATGCTGTCCCAAGTGAGACACAGGTTAATGTGAGACTACAGTTAACTACACTGATTGTCTGGTTGTGTCTTTGTGGGTTACCAGGACAACGTGGTCCGCAGCTACAAGTACACCCCCCTGACTTTCCTGCCTCTGACACTGTTCGAGCAATTCCAGAGAGTGGCCAACCTCTACTTCCTCCTCATGGTGGTGTTACAGGTCAGAATCCTAGCTCTCTTTGTTGTTTTCATCTTTTAAACAATTAGAATATAGGTGTGGGCGATATGATAAAATGAATCAAAATGTATTTCCTCATGTTGATTGATCACAATTTTCATTTCAATGTTTTTTTAAAAACACAAATAAAAATGTATTTGAGTATTTATTTTTTTCTGAACATGAACAATATTGGTTTAATCAGTGCAATTTAACCAAAAAATAAGTCAAATTTTAACCTCCAAAGTCTGAACTCTGTTCCAAACAACATGCTTTTATTGCCAGAGGATTGGCTGTAAAAAACAAATAAAAAAATAAAAATTATATAATGATGATTAAAAAGTAAATGTCAAAATGTTTTGTAACTAAATAAAAATAAATAAAAATGAATAGAAACGATTATCACAGTGTCTCAGTTCCACTCCACACTCTGATCAGATCTATCTAATATAGTTGTATAATATACAGTATGTATAATGACAAAATACAATAATACAATCACAGAGTTTCATATCATTCCAACTCATTGTGCAAGGGAAAAGTCGGGACCTTTTGTTCATGTAGTGTAGTTCCATTTAATGTTGGATTTACTTACTTACATCAATCACTGTGACATAACTAATGTAAAAATTAATCTTCTAATAATAAAAGCACCCTTTCTTTTAAAAAATATTTAAAATGGGAAGGCACAAGATCTGAAGACAGATCTGCATGATTCAGTTTCCATTTGTGCTTTGAGCCTGGTGGATGTGATGGATATGTTTTTGTTTGTTTATAGCAACAGAGAGAAAGAGAGATGCATGCAAACAGTGTGTAATGAGACTGGTGTAGGAGACCACAAGCTTTGGATTTCCATATTTCCCTGTCTGATTGTAGTGTGTTCCTGCCATCTCCTCTGTGCCCTGGTACATAAGCTTCATCCCACTGGTGTCTGTGCTGTCTGTGAGAGCGATAAAAGACCTTGCCAATGATATGGTAGGACCAGTGTTTCCTCCACACCAACTCTATCGGCATAATGTTTAAATGAGCCAATAGGCAAATATATAGGCGGCTGCATGCATCCGTATACAGGGCTGGCACTTACGCATGTCTTCTCTCTTTTCTCCTTCATTGTCCTTATTGACTCCTTGTCCTCTGCTCATTGACAAAACCAGTCATCCCAGTAGCATTAATTTTCTCTGCTATCATTAAAGCTTTTCTTTTTAAATGCATGCGGGATGTTTTGCATGGAGAATTCTCTGGTTAAGTGCATCGCTGAGTTACGGTCGTTAACAGCTCTGGGTGAAACGCTTGCTTGACCCTTTCCTATTGACTAATCATTTAGTGGAGGGTGTAAATCTCCCAGCTGGTGTCACTGTGGAGCTTCGTAATGGCGTCTCCTTTCTCCTGTTCAGCCTTTCACGGCCATCTTCTCTGCCTCTCTCTCATGTACCTGTCCATCAGTCTCTTCCTCTCCCCTTATCCCGCAGCCCTGTGCTCAAACCTACATTTACTCTCTGGTTTCTTATTGTCATTTTTCCAGACGAGGAGACGGAGCGACTCTGCCATCAACTCTCGACCCTGTGACATACTCATTTCTCAGAGGTGAGGACAAAGGCTGCCGACTGCTGTCCCTAGGCTCTCCTCACATCCCCATTTTAGAGCAGTTGTCTAATGAAGCCCTAATGAAGTGTGGATAAGTGAATCCCCAGACTCTCACTTTGCCTGCTCCTAACACAGGACACAACAGTGGGCTTTTTGGCAAGAGCTAGAGTGTATTTATATTATAAATATATTTTTTCTGACTTCTTTCATGTGTGCTCAATTGCCTTCTGAATTAAGGTTTGAAACACTGCAGTGGCGGGACATATGTGTGGGAGATATTCTTCGCATCCATAAAGACCAAGTCATTCCTGTAAGTTTGAAACTGTAAGGTTCTTACAGATAAAACATTGAAATATGTTTTAAAGTTCTACTTTTAGAAAAAAATTTTGTTGTTTTTGTTTCTGTCCTCATTTAGTCTGTTTTGTTCGTATCTTCACAGGCAGACCTTCTTTTATTGTGCAGCTCCGAGCCTCACAGTCTAAGTTATGTAGAGACTGCAGATATAGATGGGTAAAACTCAAATTATTTAATTTTTTTCTTATGCACAAACATACACATTTGAATGAATATTAATATGTATGTTATGTGTAGTGAGACCAACCTCAAATACAAACAGGCCCCAGGTGCAACACACATTGAGCTGACCACTAACCCCTCAGAGGAAAGCTTTTCTGCTTTTGAAGGTAATAAAAAAAAAAAACAAACAAACAGACAAGCAAAAAAACTTTTAACACAAAACTAATAACCACTGCAAATGGTGTCATACATGTACTTTACAGGAGTAGTGCTCTGTGAAGAGCCCAATAACCGCCTGTACACTTTCAGAGGGCGGCTGCACTGGAGAGGACAGCGGATTTTGCTGGACAGTGATCATATACTTCTGAGGGGCACTGTCCTACGCAACACAGAGCGTGCCTATGGCATTGTTATATACACTGGTATTCACACATTGACACACATTTGACACATTTTGAGGGACATTTTCTGAAAAAATTCTTCATTATTATTTAAAAAGTAGAAATGTTCTCTAAGTCTTTTGTTTCTAAGTCACCTGTCCTGATTTCACCTTGTTCATAGGTGGCCTGGTTTCAGTGTCATATTGTAGTTTTCAGAATACATTAAACTGTTAATTATGAAGAGTACTTAACTCTGACGACTGTCCTAAATACGAGTGTAACGTATGGTGGATTACAGCCCCTCCTGTCTTTAAGTGATCATTGATCGGATATAACAGGTCCAGGCAGGGGTGTCATGGATCTCACTGCTATGGCACTTTCCGTTCTAGTAAAGAGAATCAATACATCAAATTCTTCCAGAGATGGGTTTTATAACATTCATCAGTGACTGTCTATTGATGTGACCTCAGTTCAGTCTGATAACACTAACCCTCATCTCACTTCCCATAACCTACTTTGAATAAGGCAGGAATAATCAAGGCCCATATCTCTGGTGCTGTTGAAGAACTGTCCTTGGGTAGTTTGGACATTTGACACATACTTCGTTGTGTCATGTGTTTATGCACTCTCAGATTACTCCATACCATGAATGTACTGTTGGAAAACCTAAGTTTTTATATTTTTTATTGATCTCTATAAGGGAAATTTAATCTTCCCTGACCTAAGTACAGCAGGGTCAAATGCCCTCGGAGCTGGAAGGAGTCGTCTCTATGCTCAAGGAAATATGGGTAGCAATGTGCTAGGATTAAGACCTGAACTGTCACCCTTGGGAGGGGCTCCAAGTCGATTCTGTGTAAAAGTTTTATTGTACCAGGCACTGACACCAAGATCCTGAGGAACTGTGGAAAACTGCGGGTGAAGAAAACTCGGACTGAAAAAGTGTTAAATAAAGCTGTCACTGGGGTACGTACATGTGCTGGTCATCTACTTCTACTTTTTATGCTGTTCCTTACACTATATTATATACCTATATACAATCTAAATCCTCCAGATTGTACTCACTGTACTTATGTCTGCGCTGCTCCTGTCCATTGGAGGTGGAATATTTGCGAGTCGGGTGATGCAGCAAACAGAAGTGCTCGCTGCCTTGGTGGTTGATGGGAATCCTGCATACTCGGGGTTCCTTGTGTATTGGAGTTACATCATTCTCCTCAGTCCTGCCATGCCAATCGCTCTCTATATTACGTTTGTGCTCTCAGTTTTTATTTAAAATTTTAAATAAAATAATTTTGAGCCAAGGCAATATGTGATGTGATGCAATGTTTGTGTCTACATAGGTTTGAGATGATTCACACAGTCCATAGCCTTTTCATTGGATGGGACCTTAACATGTACTGGGAAAAATTGGGCAGATGTGCTGAGGCAAGGAATACCTCTTTGAATGAGGAGCTTGGTCAAGTGGAGTACCTCCTGAGTGACAAAACAGGAACCCTGACCCAGAACCGTCTGCTCTTCAGACAGTGCTGCATCGCTGGAGAGGTCTACGGTGATTGGAGATTCAATTAGTGCAGAATTAATATGCTAAAATGATAAGTTAACAATTCAGATAAAAGCTGCCCTTCTATATCATGTTCTAATTTCAAATGAATTTCCCCTCTATATTTATCTATATATTAGTATTAGTGGACATAATATTACCGCCATCTCTAGACAGTTTTTGTTTAGCTTGAAACAGTGTATCTAATGTTATAATGGATCTAAGTATGCTTAATAACAAATCATACATAAGAAATCCCATTAATGGTGCACTGTAACAATATTTTTGCTATTGTGTATTCATAGAATTTTATAACAACACAGATGAGAATCATGGCAGTTCTATCTTAATTATTTATGTAAGAGGCATTTGAATGAGCAGTGCTTTCTAACCACAGTACAGTGGAACAACAGTTCTCTTGGGGAGTGACCACAGAAAAAAAACACAAGCAAGATCACATCTCTGGAGAGAACACTTGCTTAACATTAAATTCAGTAGCCTATTAATATTTAACAGTAACAATAACCTTTGTAAGCCATAGGGTATTATTATAAATATAAATTATTGTACTTTTTCTTTCTAGGAGATGTGTCTGTTAGCGCAGAAGATACAGAGGTATTAATTTGATTTGATTGTCTATCCTAGAATAACAATGTGTCTATGTTTTGAATGGTAGTAATGTGAATGTTATGATTGCACAGCCCATGGACTTACGCTGGAACCCGTACTCGTATGGAGGGCTCTTCATGTCCGCTCCTGAGCTCGTGCAGAGACTGAGAGGACAGCGGTGTGCCTTCAGCAGAGAGTTCCTAAGAGCACTGTCACTCTGCCACACTGTCATAGCTCAGTACAAGAATGGTGAGCTCTGAGAGTTAAATATAGTTACACAATGTACTTTTCCCCTTCCTGTAATTACTGTCATGCGTTTAGGAGCCCCTGTGTACCAAGCTGCTTCCCCAGATGAAGAAGCTCTTGTTGGGGCTGCTCGTGAGTTAGGTTGGGCCTTTATTTCCAGGACTAGAGACTTCATCATTATCTCAGAGCTCGGTGTGCAGCGGCAGTATCAGGTGCTGGCACTGCTAGACTTTACTAGCAAGAGAAGGCGCATGTCTGTGCTTGGTAAGACTGCTCTCCTAGTGCGAGTACATTAAAAATATGTCTGAGAATTAAACTTTTCTTAAAAGTACACACTTCCATCTTTTAACTCATAGAACTTTTTCTTTCTGCAGTGCGGGAGCCAGAGGGTGGGTTAAAGCTTTACAGCAAGGGAGCAGACATAGTGATCCTGGAGAGATTGCAGAAGGACTGTCCACACCAGGAACGGACTGAAATAGCCCTGGAGGTAAACTTAAGTTTTGAGTATTTTTTTTCACAGTGCACTCACTGAGCTTACTTTTAAAAGAACACTCAATCTCTTCGATCTTGAAACCATACTAGAGAACACCTGTAAAATTATATTTTACATAGGCTTTTGGGTCAGAAATGCACTCAGGTATGTTAGATACCAGATAGATTGCCCTTGAGGTACAAAACTGATTCATAAAATACTCCTCTTGTATTTCAATAATCAAAGACTTGCACATAAATGCTGAGATTCCATTTCAATTATTAACTTGGGTTTCAACAAAAGATCCTTCTCCTTGGGGCATGCCTATCAAAAATAAAATAATCCTTTATTTCAGTTTCCTCTTTTTTGAAACAGCCTTTACATGTATTTATCTTTTTATAACAGGTGTTTTCAGAGTCCTGTTTGAGGACATTATGTGTAGCAGTTCGATCAGTTTCTGAAGAGCTATGGGAAAAGTGGAGTAAAAGTCTGTCCCAGGCATCTGAAATGATCGTCTCTGAGCGCGAGGTCCTCCTTGACCAACTGTACGATGAAATGGAAAGAGACTTGCAGGTGAATCTCTTGTCCTTTATTTCAATTAAGTTAAATCCACTTATCATTAAATATTCTTATTCATTTTTTTTAAAGCTTCTGGGGTTGACAGCCATTGAAGATCGGCTTCAGGAGGGTGTTCCAGAGACCATTGCTTTGCTTCAACAGGCCGGAATTAAAGTATGGGTCCTGACTGGGGACAAAAAAGGTGCTGTATTTTATTTTATTTTATTTCATTATTTTTTATTTTATTTTTTTTACCAGTGATTGAGATGTGAGATGTATGTTAAATGTCTTCATTTTACTAAATTTGCTGTACCGTTATTTTGTAGAAACTGCAGTAAATATTGGATATGCTTGTAAATTACTGGATGCTGATACAAGATTACTGGAATGGCATGAACTGAGGTTTGCAGTGAAAACTACACAGAGACTTGCAGTAATGCACACACACAAGATTCTCCTTGATCTTTGGTATTTGCTCTTGCAGACAGATCCTCCAGTCCCCAGACCCACAGGTTTCCTTCAGCAAGGCCAGACAGACAGAGCTGTGGGCTGTAGACAAAGAGATGGCTGGAACAAAAACTGCTGTGGTGCTCACCGGACCCGAGCTGGTAAACTTTAGTCTTACTTTAGTATAATATTTTTGCCTACTGTGGCAGTCCATTTCTGAATATTGCTTGCTTAATGTTGCACTAAGTAATGTTTCTGGTGAAGAGTCTGCCACCTGTTCGTCTTCATGGAAATGTCATTGCTTTAAAAAAAAAAAAAAAAAAAGTTAAACAATATGACATTAAACTTATCTATCTATGGTGACAAACAGGTGATGTGAAATGTGAAATTTGATGTGTTCTCCAGGCAGAGTTTGTACAGAAACCTGAGTGGGGGGCCACTTTGATGAAGTTGGCAATGCAGTGCCAGTCTGTTCTTTGCTGCCGTGTGACACCGGGACAGAAGGCAGACATAGTTAAACTAGTGCGGAAGCACACAAAATCCATCACATTGTCCATTGGGGATGGTGCCAATGATGTAAACATGATTAAAAGTAAGTCATGTTTAAGCTGCTTTCCTTTATACTTTTTATTGCTGACTCTAATGCTGTGTTACAAATTCAGCAGCTCATGTTGGAGTGGGGCTAGTTGGGGTGGAGGGGGGCCAGGCTGTGCAGAATGCAGACTTCTCCCTGTGCCAGTTCAGATTTCTGCAAAGGCTGCTGTTGGTACATGGACATTGGTCTTACCTTCGGATCTCAGTCTTCCTACGATACTTCTTGTTCAAGACCTGCAGCTTTGCCTTCGTTCACATATGGTTTGGCTTGTTTAACGGCTTCAGTGCTCAGGTATGACCTTTGCCATAGGGGTGGGTGACATGGACAAAAATATATTGATATATTTTTTGTATTCTTACAATTATGGCAATCAGATGATATATATGTTAAAATGTCTTACTTGAAGGCAAAAGTACAAAAGTACAGAAATGTTATCTCTGTATCACTGTAATTTTGTATACTTTTAATATAATATAATATCATATAATACTGTACCTTTAAGACTAATTGTCACATTATGTTTATTTTTCAATTTTTTAGTCTTTGTATGAGACTTGGTTCATTGCATTTTACACAGTTTTTTACACATCTAATCCGATTCTGTGTGTGGCTTTTTTTGAAAAGGTGAGATATATGTTTTGATTCTCATATTTTATGTAAGATATATTTGATTTTGAATGTGTAATTTAACCTTATTGTGTCTCTTAAGGATACAAGTGCAGAGGGCAGTTTGAAATATCCGGAGTTGTACATGTCCGGACAGAAAAATGAATTATCCAGCCCTGTTATGATGTTGATAAGCCTGCTGTATGCTGTCTACTCATCACTCATTCTCTTCTTCATCCCGTGTGGTGTCTTCTTCAACACACCGTTCGACTTCCAAACTATGTCTGTCACCGTTGCTATGGCAGCGACATTTGCAGCTACCATAGAGGTCAGAATGAGACGTGGCACTCATACATCCATATTACAATCATTAACATAACCCTAAATGTGGGCACATCCTATGGGTCAGATTAAGATATGTGGGTTTATTTGTTTTACTTAGGTCTGAACTATTGAGTATTGAGAAAAGAGACTAACTAAAGTATATAAATACTGTATAAACTTTCAATGAATTAATCTGTCTCTTCTCAGTCATATTGCTTATATTTTAACAAACACATAAAACCACTATATATGTCTTAATAATTATAATGATAATTGATTAATTATTCTAAATGTAAACTAATTATGATATTGGAGAAACTGGCTGTCAAGAACATTGTTTCCTTAGTTTAGGCAAGTAATTCAATAACACTTAATATAGGAGTATTATCTTTACACCCATTTGAAATGTGGATGCACCCTCAGTCAGTTTGGTCAGCATCTGGGCCTGCATAGGAAAACTGTATCAGTTTGAACCCTTTACTGTATAATTTGTATAAAATACAGTTGAGGTTTGTTTTTTTAGTTCCTTTTGTTTTTTCTTTCAGTGATATAAAAGATATTTAATTGTACATAACATACATGATATGTGCCCAAAACAGGAAAGCAAAAATGCTTGTGTGCTCAAAAAAAAAAAATAAAATAAAATAAAATTATTTTCATTGGATTGTTATGGAGCAAATCACACCCAGAATTGTTGGTATTGTCGTTCTTTAAAAATGACCATAAATATGGAGCTTTCTAGTGGCATGTTTTTTTCTGCTGCAGATCTCACTACAGACCAAACACTGGACCAAGTTTAACATTGCTTCTGTGTGTTTGTCCCTGGTGCTGTACTTCCTCTGCACCAAAATCACCCACAGTGAACGACTGTTTATGAGAGCACAAAAAGACTACTATTTCATTGGTATGATTAAATATATCTTAACATACTGATCTATAGCTTTGCAATTAATTATTTTTGACAAATTCACACACATAGACAACAGTTCTGAGATGATGTTGATTCAGTATTTGTGCCAATAGAGGAGCTGTCATCATTGCATGTGTGTGAATGTGCCTCTACAGGAGCAGCTGATAAGGCCTTCATTGATCCAGTGGTGTGGCTCACAGCGCTGCTTACTGCCTGGACAGCTGTTTTGCCCTCGGTCACAATCCATGCTTTCAATGTCATTCGCAAAGGCAACGACAAACACAAGGTAAGAGCAGTAAACAGCATTAAATACCATTAAGTGTTCTGGCTACATTCACCCTTTATTCTCCTTTTAACTTTGTGCTTATCCTTGTCCTGTATTATGACAAAAATACATTATAAATAATATGTGCAAAATTACATAATATTTAAATTCATTTCATTTTAATTATATTTGGTTCAAGATTCACTGTGAAGATGTATTTTTAAATGCAACTGAAAACAAAACAAAAAAAATTATAGTGTATCATTATATGGATACACTAACTGATTTTAATTGCTGATACACAGCTTTTAACTATGCCATAAAATATTTCTTAAATAGAAAATTACAAAAGTACACAACCAACCACTAAATCAAACAATCTCTACCTTTTTGTGAATTAAATTAAATATACAATAAAAACATAAGATTCTGTATAAGTGTATGGATTTCATGGCCATGGAAAATATATTCAGTTTTACTCCAAGCATCCAAGTAACCGCTGTCCCTATCCTGCTTGTAGGTGCATAGTGTCTCTCCAAAGGCCATGGAGCTGAGGCCTCAGTTGGTTTCGCAGACATCTCTTAGGCGTTCGTCACTCATTCGACGTAGAGCCATGAGAGCCAATGAACTGACTGACACTCCCAGAGCAAGCTTTCACAGCACAGCGCCACCAGTGGACCAGAAGGTGACTGCAACCAAACCCACTACAACCTCTGATGCCTATTCTTTTCTATGAAGCACTACAGTGTTGCCAAATATTGCGGTAAATTTTACTGGAGCCAGTGGAGTTTCATATTGCCTGGTCTGGTCTATTTTTAAATTGCATGCAAATAATTATTCTGACCCAAGCTGATTAAAGAATTGAAAAAAAAAAACAAAAAAACTTTCTCTTCAAATGGAGTGATTTGATTTAAAGACCTCTTTGATTAAAAAGTGACCATCAGATTTTTATACATACATTTATAACTCACTTTATATGTGACTTTTTAATATTTTTTACAAAAGCATACATTTTTCTTTTTAAAAATAAATTTGTTATCTGTAATATGTCTCTGCCTTTGGATAAACATCCATTTGTGCATCTCAGAGCTGTTGTAGAAGCTGAACTAGAAGCCACACAATAAAATGACAAACAAGGCATAGTTTTACGGTTGTTTTATTTGTTAATTTATTTCAAAACACGCAATTTACCCATATTTTCCTTTTAAGATTTTATTTTTCTGTAACAGTTATTACTCAGATTTTTTTCCTTCTCAAAAGTCTCAACTAGAGTAAAACTAAAAGTCCTCCACAGGCTCTCCGGCTTCTGCAGTGGGAGGAGGGAAAAGAGGCTTCTGACCAAGTGGGTGTATCTTGTCTTTATGATTGTGAGAGTGGATTTCACATGGTGACGATGTATTCTAAGTGCAATAGGTGGAATGTCCACATGGCCGGTAAAAATCACAGGACCCGTAGAGCAGCCCAGAGAGCTGAAAAATTGTCTTCTAGGTTTGGTAGCCAGATTGTCATATCTCTGATTTCATCTTTGGTTTCAGCAACAACACTTTCAAAAAGCCAGGCTCACACTGACCAGTATGTGCCTGTGTTTCTGTGTGTCTGTGTGTCTGTCCAAGTGCAATATAAGCCACCATCTCCAGACGACTTTGTAAACTCAGTATATACAATGTAAGCGTCTTTGCATTGATTGTGGCCCTTCCTTGGCGCTGGGAACAAAGACAGTCAAACATTGTAGTAAAAAATAATACAGCAATAAGCGGGAAGGATTAGCTTGCAAAACATCAACATGGAGTCCATTTTGATGTTCGTGGCAGTTTGGGGCATTTATGTAAATCTGTACAACATCAGTGGTCTTATAAAATGTCGTGTGCTGTAGTGCGCTTGTTATCACAGTCACTGCTATGTCATCAGTGACTGGAATGTGATCTGAAAATAGATTAATTTATACTGGAAAAAATGAGATATTCAGATGTATTGATAGGGGCGGTGAGGGTTGTACACTCAGACCCAGCAGCAACGATTAAGATTGGGAGGGTCTGGTGTTTGCATAGTTCTCTGTGCAAAAGCCACCAACCGGAGCCATTTTTTTCATTCCTCGCAGTTGGCTACATCATCAATAGATCAACAGGAAATAGAGAATGATGGGAATTATGTTCTTTCCACCATTTTTGTACTTTTACCCTGCGTTAGGTTGTGGCAGGGTGCTGGATGGTGAAAAGGAATGATTAGGTTATTATGGGTGAATACTATGAGTCTGTGGTAAATTGTCTGTGGTTGTTCATGTCAAATTATTAATGGTATAAGGACATAGTGTATATATGGAGTAGTTGGTCAGGCACTACAGCACAAGGTGAACCAGAGAACCTCTTTTCCTTTATATTGTCCCCTGTTTACTCCTCCGCACTGGCCTGCCCTCTCTCTACCTTCTCTTGTTTTGAAACTGATTGTCTTCTACCATCACAAAGACACTTGGTTCTGATTGATTAACAGGTAACAGAAGAGGGAGAGCACAGTGTGACTGGGGGTGTCTGCAACAGCCCCATTGGCTAGCCTTCCATCCCACAAGAAAATGAAACGCACAGATGCTGTTTGACAGTAAATGCTGACCACATTTCCTGTCGGATGAACAGGTGCCACATGGCACTGAAGTTGCTTGGTTGATCAATGTTAATCAGTCCATAAGAAATGGTTTTCAAATTTTGCATGACAAATATTGCAACCCATGATAAAGGAACATAACAAATTGAACTTTGTTTCCACATAGGTACAAATGGGCACACATACACAAATTGAAGAAACCCATGTTGACAGACATACAAGAATAACAAGGCTGCTCAGACCTGTGTGTGTCCCTCTGATTAACTCCAAGTGAACAGCCTGTCTTTGGAAAAGCAAGACACACATTTCAGGACCCGAGTGTGGACCACAAGCTGAGGAATGAAGATTGAATGCTATTGATTAGGAGAAGAGGAGTTTGACTTCCCCCAGCGCACACTGCCCCCTACTGTTGGAATTTATATACATCAAAAAAACATGGGGAAAGGGGAAGGGTTGCAACAACACATGCACACAACCAGTGAATCCAACAGTGACGGAAATTTCTAAAAACAAGGACCCTTCCCAAATCTTCCCACCCTTTTTCCAGTTAACCAAAATATTCCCCAACTTGACTCTACCCTCTCCCAAATCTTTCTTTCCTCCTCTTCATCCCACAAAGTCACAGGTCATTCCTGTTGGTTTCTATACAGTTATACAATATCCATGCACAAAAGGAAAAAAATTGCACCTTTTTTCAATAAAAGGTGCATTTCTAAGAACATCAGGAGCACTTGAACACACCCAGTAACCTTCAAAAGTAACCGTGTAATTGTTTTAAAGAGAAAAGACAACTTAAAGGCAGAAGAAAGCTAACAATAAACTAAATGTGTTTCATCCTTTGGTTTATAAATGGATTTTTGGTTCTGAATTCAACCAAAGCTAAATACTTTTCTCTTTTTTCTGAATGTATCAGCCTTTGAAAGCGCTCTGGACCTGACACAAACAATATGTGAGTAGCTCCCTCACTTCACTTTCTGTTCCTGCCTTGTTTTCTGTCTTTTCTTTTTCCCACAGAAACATTCACAATGTCTTTTCCTTTATGAAAACAGTAAGTACATGCCGTAGCAAAACAAACAGAACGTACAAGAAAAATGAGCAAACCAATAAAAGGAATTTAACAGTATAAAGCTTCAAGTCACAAGTTCCAAAACTAACTATCATAGTATCATAGTTTCATAATCATTGTTATCATTAGCAGTATTATTTTCAGATTAAATTACATAAAGTTTACATGAAAGGTTTTGAGGTATTTCAGAATTAATTGTCAACACACGCCTACCGAGTCTTAGCACTAGCCAGGGGGAGAGGTCGACTGGACAGGTGAAGGGAGGAGAGTTTTGTGTCTAAACTGTCAGTGAGTCTTCCACACCTTACTAGTGCAGCCTCTGTGCTTGCACGCCATAGAGAGAATAACATGTAATATGGTACCAACAACTACAGCTCTGTGAGTGCTTAGAGCCTTTGCCTTTTTACCTGCCCCTTCACTGGTACACAAAAATATCTCTTATGTGAGAGAGGTAAAGCGGCCGTGGGTGTAAGCACATCAGGCAGAGAGCAAAAGAAACAAAAGCACAACACAAAGACTGAAACAGTAGAAAATCAAAAGCAAAAAGCCTGACAGATTAAGGAGTAACATATAATTTAGTTTCAAATAAATAGTGTATAGAAAATGTTTTATAGACTTTCTACATGATAAAGTGCTTGTATTCTAGTGTATCAAGATGGAAAGTCAATATGGGTGAAAATGCTGACACAGCCCCACACTGTGTCCCTCTCTTAACCCCCCTTTCTGTCCATCCAATTATGGTTGCATTGTCTGTATGTGTTTGAAAAAGAGTGTGCGGTGTGTGTTTGTGTGTGTGTCCAGTGCAGTCCCACCCGTGGTTGAAGGGAAAAGGCACTCAACTCTATCTGCACGGCAGCCACCTCCTCCTTGTGGCACAATGCAGTCTGACTGCACTGTTCTTCATGTAATAGTAAGTGTGTATGTGTGCATGTCAACATTGGACAAAGGGGGTCCTTTTGGCTTGTGTCCCCCTAGGCAGTTTGGGACCGGTAGGCTGCAGTATCTTTGGTATTAGTGGCGGTTTCACAAACCACTCAGCTTAGTGAGGTAGCCACATTGGTTCTCACTACAAACAAATGTCATATTGTCAGCCTAATGCCTAGTGCTGAATCTAGCTATTTACGTACATATGAACTGTATACCACAAATCAATGTTAGCGCATCATCCATGGGCGACTTTTATTCATTGCTCAGAGCAACATGAATTTAGTCCCTGCCCTCAATAACTCATCTATAATGACCACCTTATCTAATCTGCACTGCTAATCTGACTACATTGTTGAAAATGCTACAGTTGCATCTTAAGACCGTACAGATAACTATTGAGTCCCAAGAGATGCCCTCACCCCAACCTCCATGATACACTGAATCAGCCAAGACATTTGGAGGTCATGTTTTGTCCCCCTCTGTTTGACTCCATTGGTGGGGCTCAGCACAGTCCATGAAAAGCCAAGAGAGAGAAAAGTCCATCATTTATTCTCCTCTTCAGCAACTCCCTGTTTTTTCTTTTTACGTTCATGTAGTAAATGTCTCCTCCAAGTCTTTATCAACATAATGCAAAAAAACAAACAAAATGTCCTTCATTGGCCTCAGTCCTTGCATCCTTCTTATTTTTCTTTTAAAAAGTCTTCTTTTTGTTTTGATTTATCAACAAGGTGCCTTACTTTTTGCACAACAGAGCACAATAGTAACGAGAAATAGAAACTTTTGTGTCTATGGTACTAGTTAAATACCCGCATCAGTATAGAGAGAAAGAGAGAGAAGAGAGGAGCAATAGGGGACAGAAGAGGTAGAGAACCAAAGATAGAATGATTTTGCTTCATCAAAATGTGTCCACAAATGTATTGGAGACATTTTAACTTGTGGCATCTCTATTTGAGGTTTGGTTATTGTATGCCTTAAAATTGAATTTGTTTTTCTTTTTTACTAAAAAAGTATACTTTTCCTTTAAAAGCTGATTGTTGGTTGCTATGGCACACACTGCCCGTCATCATAGGGTCGCCCTGTAGCTGTGTGTGAGCCTAGTACCACTTTCTCTGATTTGCATTAAGGCAGTAAACATTGGCACTAATTAT